CTTTCACTGTTTATCATGACCTATACACTGAAAACTGCTAAATGTTTCTGTGTGTCTATCCATTTATCTACCTACCTATCTAGCCCAGGACCTCTCTGCCCAAACCTTAATATGCAATGGTTCATTGGACACACATCTCCAATTGGATTTTCTATAAGCACTTCATGTTCTACATGTCTAAAACTGAACTCTATCACTCTTGCTCTCAAATCTGGATTTTTTAAGTTTTACCCCATCTTCCTATACCATCCATTCCCAATCCTCCACCAAATCAGTCACCTAATCTTAGAGATTCTACCACCTAAATATCGTTGTTACCAAACCCTTTCTCTCATCCCACTGCCAACACTTTGGTACAAGGACCTCAACCTCTCTCACCAAGGTCATCCCAATACCTTCTAAACTGCCATTCATATCTCATGTTCCTCAGATCCATCCTTCTAGATTGCCATAAGAGCTGTTTTCTGATCACATCACACCTTGGCTTAAAACAACCTTGACCTGAAAAGAGTCCATACTCCTGAGGATGGCAAACAGCCCTCCATGATCTTGCTCCTGCCTCCAGTGATTCATCTTTTATGTCACCCTCTAAGAAACCCTTGAATCTCCTGCCTCACACAGAATTGACCACTTCCAAATCTCTGTTAAGGGTATGGTGTGTATATCTCTATCATGGCACTTACAGAACAGCCAGCACTATATTGTAAATAATGAAAATAGCCTGTTTTCAATGGGCACAGGGAGGGAAACGTCACACACCCGGCTCTGTAGGGCAGTGGGGGTATAGGAGAGGGATGTGGGGACAGGAGAGAGGTAGCATTAGGAGAAACACACCTAATGTAAATAACAGGGTGATGGATGCAGAAAACCACCATGGCACATGTATGCCTATGTAACAAATCTGCACGTTCTGCACATGTACCCCAGAACTTAAATAATAATAATAATAATAAAAGAAAATGGCCTGTTTCCTCCTTATCTCCCCATTTTAAGCCTGAAGTCCTCCCAGGGCCTTAATTGTATGCACATCCCCAGAGCACAGTGCCTGGCATATGGTATTCTTTTAACAAATATTTGTTGAATAAAAGAATGAATGTTTATGAAATGCTTCAGATTAAAGAGATATGATTACCACTGTTTTCAAGAGCAAATTAAATTAAGCCATTTTAATCAAATTTATTATGATTATGTACCTTCTCCATAAGTAGGTATGCAAAATATTTAAATAATTCACCTACTCTGAAGTATGGTTAGCAGGATTCTCAAATCATACTTCTTATTCCAGACTTCCAGAAAAAGGTTAACTACACTACATTATGGTTAGTAAATTTCAGTGGCAGAAAGTAGTATGTAAAATATCCTGGTATATATATTCCTAAATAAAGACAATCTGAGCCTATCATTAAAAAGTAAACTTTTGGGCCACGCACAGTGGCTCGCTCATAAACCCAGCACTTTGGGAGGCAAGGTGGGCGGATAACGAGGTAAACAGCTCGAGACCATTCTGGTCAACATGGTGAAACCCTGTCTCAACTAAAAAAAAAAAAAAATACAAAAATTAGCTGAGCTTGGTGGCGCACACCTGTAGTCCCAGTTACTTGGGAGACTGAGGCAGGAGAATCCCTTGAACTCAGGAGGTGGAGGTTTGAGTAAGTAAGCTGAGATCGTGCCACTGCACTTCAGCCTGGGCAACAAGACTAAAACACCTTCTCAAACAAAAAAAAAAAGTAAACTTTTTTAAAGAGCTGCCTCAGTTTCTCAGAAACACTAAGATTTTCCAGAAGACTGAACTGTCTGAAATTAAGACATCCTCCTAAAGATCTCATACACAAATTTTTCTACAAAAAGTACATTAAAACCTTTTATATAGAAGCCACCGTTCTGGAAACCTAAACATTTCAGCTAACAGTCCAGACCGCAAATAAAGCATGTGAAAAGAAACTATCTGTCACAAAGTCTACAGGCTTTATACTCAAGCAATAGACCACATCATTTAATTGAAAAAAAGACAACAGATAATATAGCAGCAGGATCCGCTCACAGTCTGACAGCAGCAGAAAGTGATAGCTGATAACAGAAAGAGAACCCAGAAAAAAATATAAAAAGAAGAATGGTACTTCTGTCTCCATTCTAGTATTTCAACCTAGCAGGCTGAGACCATTTACTATAAACAAAAACAGCTCTATATACCTCAGCGAATAGCACTATTCAATTCTTTATGAATTCATAAAGACAGTCCAACAACAAAGAATAACTTATATCCAATATGCTCCAAGGGAACAAGGAAGACAGTAAGGTTTAGAAATTGCTTGTATGTTATAACGTCTCATTTTTTTTTTAAGTTTCAGTAATTAATGGTGTGAAGAGTCAGCTACCTAGAAAATGTTCTTATGTAAATAAGTACCAATGCAGATGAAGTCAAATAAATGAGACATTATATCCTGCATAAACAATCAAAAGTTCTCACTCTCTAATTATATCTTAGAAATTCCCAGGTGTGTGTTGGAAAATATAATATGAATTAAAAAGCAACAAATTAATATCAATTGATAAACAGAAACGTGATTTTAAAAACTATTTGAGAATCGAAAGTGGGATTTTCATCAATATTTAAAAGGTAATAAAGCTGACAGTTGTTCATAAGGTGCAATAAAATGTTTTAATTTAAATTAAATTATTGGAAAATGTAAACTGTCAAAATCTCTAAACGAAAAGTAGGTTTTATCCCAAAAAATGGTTATAAGCATCTTTATTTACTGCATTGGTTTATTTATTCTAAGATGCGTACCAAGTTTAAATACAACAAGCATAATCCTCTGGAAATCTTAGATTTAAAAAGTTTGAATTTCTATAGTAGTATTATCTGGAAAAAGAAGTATAGTTTCTGCTCAGGTATGCCCAACCTCTTAATAGAGTATCAAGCTTTTACTAAATATCCGGAAACTGTGCTTTATTGTAGTTTTTAAAGATTCATATAATAATAAGTCACAAAACACTAGATGTCAACTTAACCTTGTAGGTGGCAGGAAATTCATACAATACTAGAGTGTTTTTCTTTGGCTTATCTAGAATAGTTGCTGAACAGAGACACGTTCCTAAAGCAAAACCTCAAACCACCAAGAGATAGTTTTTACAGGAGAAAACTAAGCTGACTAAAGCTTAATTCAATTAACACAAAGTTCTGATCTCCTTTATCATGTAATACTGAGGTGACTCCTTAATTTTAAAATCTCCTGGGGACAAAATGTGGTTACTCTTAACACTATTAAAATATCCATTAAAGATAACTATTGGGTACTGGGTTTAATAACTGGGTGATGAAATAATATGTGCAACAAACCCCCGTCACGTGTGTTTACCTCCGCAACAACCCTTCACATGTAGCCCAAACCCTAAAATAAAAGTTTAAAAACAAGAAAAGAGCAAAAGGCACTTTCTATCCTTCCTTCAAATTGTGATCATTTTTTTCTAAGGATACGTCAGAAGCACACCAATTCCGAGGGAATATAGTTGTTTTTGAACATGAAATTATCAGAAATAGTAACAACAACAACTTGGCATCTAACCAAACTGCCTAACATTCACGTCATTGATCCTGAAAAACTGGTAGTACAAGGTGACAGCCGGAGGGGACTGAAGATTTTTAAAGTAGTGTTTTTTTTTTGTTTGTTTTTGTTTTTTTTTCTAATTTTTACCAATGCGACCCATCAGAAATAAAAGACTCTATCGTCATTGCTAACACTGGCTCATAATAAAGGTGATTCTCCGGAGCATGCCAGGTTTGATACCGCCACCACCCCTTCCCTTGGCGACATTCTCTGCTGAGAACGCCTAGTTAGCTCAATCCAGCCCTTGGCATTAGTTTTCAGGACTCTCTCAGAAGTTCTTTACCTTCTCTCCTCCCCTCCCCGCCTGGATGCTGAAAGGTGATGGGAACTCGCGGTACAGGTACAAAGGCTATTCCTTCCCTAAGGAAATGCTGCACCAGGGCACGTTAGCGGTACTCAATTTTATAAACCCTCAGTTAAACAGTGAGTTAAATTAAACCAGCGAGTTTGCTTATACAGAATGGGTACCCAGCCCGCCTCCTCGGATTGTCCTTTTGCCCTGAAGCACTGCATCTACTTGCACTCTCTGATTCGGTTTCCCTCCTTCAAATCCAAAACACACCTCCCAGGCCCTCTCGCTGCTCCTCCAGTCCTTGGAAGGCGCCCTTCTTTTTGCCAGCAGCTCGTCCTTCTCTCTCCGCCTGCAGGCGCTCACCTCTTTTCTAATCCAGGGGGCCTGCAAAAGCTTCTCTAATGCAAGGGCACCTCGTACCATTCCCAGATGGGCGCGGGGACCCGTGAAACCCTGCCACCTCTGTACACTGCCCATTGTTGGGGGTCGCGCTGGCACGCAGAAACGGCGGGCCCTGAAAGGTCTCAGCAAGCTTGTACAGCCCCGAGACACTCCCCATCCCCAATACCTCCCGCTCTTGTTCCTCCAGAGGAGGAAGACGGAGTAAAGGGGAGTTGGAGAGGTGAGAGGTCCCGAAGTACCTCCCGGTCCCCCATCTCTATCCCTGCCCTGGTAGCTGGCTCCGGCCTCGGGGCTCCTCGGGGCTCCACGGTGCCCATCCCCTCAGGGGTCAAGTACCAGGTCCTCGGCCGAATCGCCTCCCTCTTATACCCTCCCTCTGCCTTGAGCGCACAAACTCGAGAGGACCCTCGAACGGATGCCATATGGGAGAAACAGGATTGCGGGCGCTATCAGCGGCCAACCTAAAAAGATTTCCTCACACTCCCTCAACCTCTGGCCTTTCTCTCTACCCCGCCAACCCCCCACTATCCAGTTCTAACTTCCTCAGCCCAACCCCACCTGCGCTCACCGATTCCTACCCACCCCCCTGGATCGCAGCCATTCGCCCGGCACTCACCTCAGGAAGCAAACAACGCCCCCTCTCCTCCTCGCAGCCCGCCCCCGTCCTCCCGCTGGAATTGCGTGGTCCCTCCGCTCACCTTGTCTCTTGGCTGCCCCGCGCGAGTTTGAGAGTGTCTCTGCCGCGTAATTGTATCCGGGACAGAACGCCCCGTGCTTGTGCGCTGAATCAGGTGTCGCCGCCTTCGGTGGTTAGGGGGTGTAGGGGAGGCTTCAGAGTTAGCTTGTTGGCTTAGAGGGCTCTCTGGTTTCACAGTTGATAGCAATGCTTTGACCGTGTCCTCCCTCGGGTCCGCAGCGCGCGTGCTCGTCCTCAGCTCCCCGCGGGCGGCCAGGCCCCCCGCCCCCCAGCCGCGCCCCGCCCCGCCCCGCGCGAGGCGAGGAGAGATGTTGCGCGCTGCTGTCCTTCGGCGTTTGACTCAGCGGGGCACGACTAGGGCCGCCACGCGCTCAGCCTCGCATCACTTGCCTTGAGCTGAAAGCGCCTCCAGCTCCCCCGGCTGGGGCATGGATGCGGATGCGCCTTCTTACCACGCGCTCGCAGGCTGCGCAAGGGGCAGGGCTCTGGGACCCAGCAACTCACCCGCTGAGCGCGCTTGGCTTGCAGCTGAGACTTTAGCTAGCCCTCTGAGCGCTTGAATTGCGAACTCCAGCACCCGCACGGGGCCCCGCCCACTGTTTCCTCTCAGTGAGGCGTGTTCCACGCCCTTTCTGCCACCACCCACCTAGTCCTAATACCCCCCTTTTTTTTTTTTTTTTTTTTTTTTTTTAGAGGGAGTCTCACTCTGTCGCCTGGCGGGAGTGCAGTGGCGTCATCTTGGCTCACTGCACACCCTCCGCCTCCCGGGTTCAAACGATTCTCCTGCCTCAGCCTCCTGAATAGCTGGGATTACTGGCGCTTGCCACCACGCTCCGCTAATTTTTCTATTCTTTTGGTAGAGACAGGATTTCACCATGTTGGCCAGGATGATTTCGATTTCTTGACCTCGTGATCCGCCGGCCTCGGCCTCCCAAAGTGCTGGGCTTACAGGCCTGAGCCACCGCGCTGGCCTGTGCCTGCCTCTTATCATCAAGGCAGCGCAGTATTGATAGCTCCCGTTTTCTCACCTTCCTATCTTTCCTGCCTCACTCCTGCTGAATCCATTCAAAAGTTGTACTTGGGCAAGTGGATGGAGGAGATTGTAAAATAAACAGGGGGATGCTTAGGTGAGCAGGTACCTGTACTGCCGCCAACCCAGGCTTCAATTCTGGCTCCCTTGAAACGGAAAGCCGTAAAAAAAGCGAGTTTGGGGATCTCGAAATAAAGTAAATTGGGTTGCTGGGCTCAATAGCATCCATCCTACCAGGCTCGTGCTGAAAGGGCCATTCATGTTTTGCCTGGTTGAGCCTATGGCTACTTTATTCTGACGAATCTGCCTTTGCCAGCTGCATAACCTTGCCAAGTTGGCGTCTTGTCCAGCAAGCGACTGTGCCCAAGGCTTGCTGGAGCAGCCTCTCTGAGGCACCTCAGACCTGAGAGGCCGAGTGACTTTGAACTCCTGAGGTAGATTGTGAGTTTCATAGAAACCCAGAAAGTATAAGAGTGCACGTGTGTGAGAAAGTTTCAGCCAATATGGAGTATGGTATTAAAATTCCCTTATTTCTACATACCACATATTCAGTATTCTCAATCGTTGTTTTTCTCAGAAATACTTGTTATAATTATTCACCCCCTATAACTTTATTGGAAAATATAAACAACCGTATGAGAGATAGATACTATATAAGTTTGTAATCATTCATCATTAACTCTGGGATCAGACTCCCTAGAAGCAGACTCCCTAGACTTGAACTTCTGCCTCACCATTTGTTAGCTGTGTGATTTTTTGGTATGTTACCTAATTTCTCTGTGTTTTGATTTCTTTACCTGTGAAATGAATATAATAATAGTATCGACTTCATAAGGTAGGACATAGCCCCTGTCACCTAGTAGGGCTCAATGCATGTTAACTGTATTATCTATCTACGACTCTACTAGTAATGGAGAAAGTTAACCAGCTTTCTAAGTTCTGTTGGGGTGATTATATTTATTAACAGATTTAATTAGGGATTTTTCTGTCCTTTTATTAGCTTCTTTGCTACCTTTTTTTTGACTGCAGGACTGATTTTTTCATACAGTGTTCTGACAAGACCAAGTTCTTCTAATGCTTTACCTTTTATTATAATAAATAACCCACGTTTTTTAAAACAGTTCATGCATTCATTTTATTCATCTCATTAGCTGTACTGCATTCACCCATCTAGCAAATGTTTGTTAAAAACCAAATTTATGCTCAGTTTTGATAAACACTGTAGAGAATTTGCTCCCTTAACCCCCAACAAAAATTATTTCATTGATTCTACCCTTAACAAGCTGGGGAAAGGAGTAACTTACAAACATTTTGAAAAAATATATAAGTATATAATAATACTGTATTTAAAAGTAATCAAGTGTTGAACACATAGAAAAAGTAGTGAGAGAAGAGAAGGTGAGTAATATTAGCTAGACTTGTTAGACAAAGGAAAGATTATACTTGACTAGGGCATGAAGAACAGGTAGGATTTTTAGTTCTTCAAGAACTAAAGGATACTTTATCTGAGAATGAAATAATGTATTATTAATTTTTCTTTCACACTTTTATAAACCAAGTGAATAAACCTACTACCTTAAAGTATATAATATTACAATTTTAAAAGTACCTTCTATACATTAAACTTGAAATATATTACTTTGTTAAATTGTACTTAGTAGAAATAGTAGAGACATTACCTGCTGACAAAGTAATATGTGAAAGAATGAGTAGAACATAAAATTATTAATAGATATATATATTATGATACATGTAACATCTTGTGGAAGAATAATAGGAATCGGGTTTGTTTTGGTTGGTGTTTTTTTCCCCCATTTTTATTTTAGATTCAGGAGGTAAATGTGCAGGTTTCTTACTTGGGTATATTGTGTGATGCTGAGGTTCAGGGCATGATGATGTTGGTAGTTTGATAGGAATAGCATTGAATCTCAACCTGCTTTAGGCAGTATGGCCATTTTAATGATATCAGTTCTTCCAATCCATGAGCATGGAACATAATTCATCCATTTGTTTGTAACATCCATATTTTTTTAGCAGTGTTGTATAGTTCTCTTTTCATCTCCTTGGTTAGATGTATTCCTAGATATCTTGTGTGTATGTGTCTATTGCACATAGGATTCCATTATTGATTTGGCTCTAAGCTTGAATGTCATTAGTGTATAGACATGCTACTGATTTTTGTACAGTAATTTTGTATCCTGAAACTACTGAAGTCAGGAATAGGTTTAAAATGAAGACCTCTTGAAAAAGAATACTAGAGAAATAAAGAGTGTGCTCAAAACTCTACATGAGTTTTAGGCATTTTATAGTAAATGTGACATGGTTTAAAACGTTTTTATGTGTTCAGATATTAAACTACTTGCAAGAATATACTCCTGTAATGTCACAATTAACAAATACTTTAAAAGCAATATACAAATTTTTCTTTAATACTTTCAAAACTGATACTTTCTAAAATAAATTATTAATGACACAGTTTTACATCAAATGACCCAGTAATGTAGCTCATGTAAAGTAGAATACAGCAGAATGGATTTAAATTTAATCATAGGGAGAAATATGGGTAGCTGTACACATCACCCTTTTGCTAACAGATCCAAATATTTGAATATATTGTGATCGGGCACCTTATGCCTCTAACAATATCACTGATTTCACAAACTAGCTCCACTCTTTGAGCTCTTTAAATGTGATTGTCTACTTTGGAGACCTGAAAAACAGAGCATCCAAATATACACAAGGATTCATTAGGTCTAATTTAATGTTGTTCTCCATAATAATAATAATGATAAAAATTATGGCTTCTGCATTTAATTCTAAGTAGTGTTTTCCAGGTGCAATTACTGTATAATTTTAATTATAGAAATCCTGGATGTAGGTACTATTATTATCCCTGTAGCAGAGAGTTTAGGAATAAAACTTATCTAAGGTCACTGCTGGAAAGGTGCAAAACTGAAAATTGAATTGAGGTCTGTATGAGTCAATGATCATGCCCTGAACTACAGAGGCCATTAAGACTGGAGCTCATAGCACAGTGTAAATCTTGGTGGTGGAAAGGTTGAAAAGTATAAATGCAACCTGGGCATTTGAGGAACCCCAAAAATTCGAGTAGCGCATAATCTCAGTCTGCCTTGTGTGTCTCTCCTCCCCTACCCCAGAGCAACTGCTTTATAAATGAGTCACAGTACAAAGACGTCCACGATAATTAGGCCTGAATTTCCTATACATCCAGTTTTAATATTGTACCATTTTTGTTTTAATTCCCATTTCCTGCAGATGCCGGCTTGCTATGTTTATAGAAACACTAAACCTGATAGTAAACAGAATGAAAATCATGCACAAAATCCGTATGATAACAAAATACAGCATTACCTCTTCACCTCCTCTTTTTGCTCTTTCCTTCTTTCTTTCCCATCATCTCTTATTTTTTTCCAAACCATCGGTTCTTGCTTTCAGTTGTAACTATTTACATTATATATATATATATATACCATACACCATAGCACATTTTTATATGTATGAATTAATTTATTTTGTTTCAAATAATTTATTATATTTTGTTAGGCATTGGGCACTACATTAGAAAATGTTGATCCATGAATAAAATTTTAATAGAGAAGAAAGATCAGAGGAGCAAAAGGGAAGTTCTAGAACTTTGAAAATGATGGTGATAGCTGTATTGCCTGACAACTTCTAGACTCTCATTAAATGTTTTATAAGCTGTCTAAAGGAATATCCCATAAAGGAACAAACCAAATAAAGCTTATATTTTTAATAATTTTAATTATATGATTGTAGACATCATGTAGACATATATCTATGTCCTTCTAAAGCGATATATATTTTCATGATTAGAAAATAGCATCAATGAAACTCTATTTTCTAATCTAGTACCTAGTAGTTGAAACTTTTTAAATAAGTTCAAAAACTTCATGATGAACTCTGGTGAGCTGTAGGAAATTTATGGAAATAGAAAATCTGTCTTATAGAACCCTTAAACTGTTAAGGATTGGAAACTTGTAAAACTGGATTATTAAATAACCTATATTGAACCCTTGATAATTAAAGACCAATCCAGATTTTAAAGGCGAATACTGCATGAGCTCAAAGTTAAAACACAGCTTTCTTCCCACGTATTTTGTGGGTGTTACTTATTATTATAGTTTCTCTGTGTTTGGGTCATAATACCTCCTGAGAATAAAGAACTTTATATTACCTTAGTATCACCATAATTTGTTTTATTTTATATAAATGAATTGCAAGCTCCAGGAAATACCAAGTAGTTCTAATATTGCAGCACTAGGTGAGTGAATGAGGTCACAGTATCCTCTTTTTATTTTATAGATGCTAATCTTCATCCAGATCTTCTATTAATTGTCAACTTCTATGGCAGCTCTCAGTTCCATTAAGCATAATTCAAAACTATCAAAACTTTCTGACCTATGTCATATCCCCCTGATACCATGGTTTCTGTGCTTCCCAAAGCAAACAGTTTCTCACATAGTCAGCTTATCCTTTTTTTGTTTGTTTGTTCTGAGATGGA